ATTCTGTGCGGCCATCAAGGACTCTGGGCCACACTCTGTCCTCCTGGCTGACAAGGTGACAGCGACACATTGATGGACCTGAAGCAGCTTCTCAGTCTCTTGGTCATTGTCTCCTGAAGACAACTTTGTGCCTTTGATTTTCTTCTTCTTATGAGTTAATGTCTTGGTGGGCTATTCACAGTCCCCCCCCCCCGACACTTCCCTGGCATCCAAACCCCCTGAGGATATTTTTATATGTGAGAGCACACCTCACCACCATCTTACAGGCAAGGAAATCGAGAGCAGCTCAGATCTGAGGTGAGGCTGAGATCTACACTGAGCAGGTCTGAGCGGGCCTGGAAATACAAAGTCACATTGAAGAGAGTGAGGAAGAAGGCTCCCAGCTTCAAAACTGGATAGGTGGAGTGAGACTAGACCCTAGGATGGAAGGAAAGTATTCGGGTGACCAGTAATGAGGGAGGAGGCTAAGCTAAGGCTAAGATGTCCCCATAACCAGCAGGATTACCGAGGACTATGCTATGTGCTTGCTTTTGTGTGTGTGTGTGTGTAACACAAATAAAAATAAAAGCCAGGGCTAATGTTATAGCTCAGTGACAGAGTGCCTGTCTCTTACAAGCAAGGCCCTGGACTAGACATCCAGTATCACAAAAATGAAACAAAATAAATTTGCATATGATTTTGTGATAGTTTTTTTTGTGTGTGATAGTTTGTTTTAACTGTTAACTTGACACAACCTAGAGTCACCTGGGAAGAACATCTTAATGAGGCATTCTCTAGATCTGGTTACCCCTTGGACATGCCTTGTTGGCCTATTGGGGATTTTCTTGACTGTTAACTGACCCAGTCCATTGAGGGTGGCACCATTCCCTAGGCCATGAATTACGTAAGAGTGAAGAAAGCCAGCTGATAGCAAGCAAGTAGACAGTATGGCCGCATTTGTTTCTCTCTGTTCTTGACCGGATATGGTGTAGCTGCATGAGTTCCTATCTTGACTTCTCTCCGTGATGGACTGTAACCTGGAATTGTAAGGCAAACAAACCTTCACTCCCATAAAGTTGATTTTTAGTCAGGGTGTGTTCTCACAGCAACAGAAATGAAACCAGAGTGGATTTCAATGTGGTCTAAACAGCTGAGACTCAGGGTACGGTCAGCACGGGTTCTGGCCAAGTTTTATGGCCCCCCTCAAGCCTGGGATTCACCCTGCTGAGATTTACTACGTTGTGCTGCTGTGGGTGCGAATAAATCTGGACTGGCTGCTGAAGGCTTTCTGATTCATCTGTTTAAAGTGCTACAAAAGAAAGACGGAGAGACAGTCCACAAGTTGATCTGGCTTCAAGTCCCACTGAATCCCATTGGGCCTGATTTCTCTCTCTCCCTCTCAGAACCAATCTCTGAGTCTTACCCTCCTATTCCCTGAACTGGTGGGTTCCAGCAGCCCCAAGCTGATAGCATCCCAACCCCATGTATGAAGAGTTCTGTCCTCCAAGAAATCCCAGACCAGCATTGAACTAACTTTGCCTACCCATCCCTGAATCAGTCAGTATGGTTGGAAGAAATGCGCTGAAATGCAGGGGTCACATGTCTACCTTGAAGCTACCCTGCCTGGCCCACATGGACTCAGGGTGGGGATGGAGTGGATTCCCATAAATAAAGGCACACTGTTGCCAAAAGGAAAGTTGAATACTGGTTAGGTGACAGACGCCTCCTAGTAGAGCAAGTGCCTGGGCCCAAGGTGGGCAACAGAGAGGGTCAGAGGCTCTGGGCCAGAGTCACATGCTAAGAGCACGTTCTGTGTATGACCGGACATCTTCGTTCATAGCAAGAGGCTGTATCACTCAGGAGAAGACACCTTACAGGTTTTAGGGGTGTTTGTGAGAAAAGAAAACACAGAAAGAGAAGAGAGATGGGAGAGAGGCATCCTAGGATCTTGATCCTATTAAGAATCACCGCAAAAGGCACTAAGCTTGTCAGAGCCTGGATGTCCCCAGGAAGTGAGAGGAAGGGTCTGTGATAAGCAGGTCTGAAGGAAGGAGAAAGGGCTTTCAGGGTGAAGGGGAGACTTTGAGGACAGCGGAGAAAAGAAACCAGGTCGTAGGTATTACTCTTGCAGAATGGCAGCACAGAAAACGGTCGGTCGGAGGCCTGCCTGCCTCCTGCCGGAGAAGTGAGCAGCTCAGATTTCACACCTGGATTTTTAATCAACTCCCCTCCTGGCTTGTTGATAGCAGAACCCAGGATGGGGGAAGAGAAGAACAGCGAGGAAAACCCAGGGTGGCTGAGACAAGCAACGAGACTTCATGTCCAGAGCCACCTTGGGCTCCTCCAGGACAGCTGCCCTGCAAACACAATTCCATCCCTAGCCCCACATGGTGCCCAAGATTACCACTCTTCATCGACTATGTCTGCATCCCATGTAAGACCATTTTGTCTTCAAAGCTGATGCTTTTTATTTTCCCACTGATTTTTTTTTATAACATAATTCTTTATTGATTCTTTGGGAATTTCATATCATGCACCCCAATCCTGCTCACCTCCCAGTCCCTCCATATCCTCCCCTAGCCCCTGAGCATCCTCCCAAAAGAAACCTCCCCCCAAATCAATTAAAAACAAAACAAACAAACAAAAGCCACCTTGCTCCTCCATCTTTCCAACACCTCTTCATCCTTCCTAGTGGCATTGGGAGCTGCAGTGTGTCACACAGTACACCCTTTTGTCCAATCTGCCCCACCCACAAAGTGTTCATTGCAAAGAGTCAGTGGTCTGGTTCAAGGCCTCTGGCACACCATCACTGCTCTACCTTCTCGGAGTCATGGGGATCCTGTGGTTTTCATTCCGCAGGACCAGTCCCTTCACAGGGGTAGATGTTAGGGTGAGCCAACCCAAGGCCCAGGATGCGAGGCTGGGTGGTAGCTGATCAGGTTGGTCCGGGCCTCTAGTACCATCCTCCTCAGGCAAGGGCCAGAGCCCCCTCTCCTAGGCCCATGCTATCAGGGCTGGCTCTCCCACACCCATGGTGAGGAGCAGGGCCGGCTCTTCTGCTGTAGTGTCCAGTGAGGGACAGGGCTGGCTCAGCACAGTCCTTGGATTTCAACACACATGGTGGCAACATGGCCTATGGACATTATCACAGACCCCAGCTGTATCAGGAACACAAACCAGGACATGGCTCTTAGCGGTAGTTTTGGCCCGGACGACACCATGGCCCCATGTGGCAGTACAGGCCACCCAATCGGCATGATCCCTGAGGCAGCAAAGCCCTCAGACACCAACATGGCCACAGGTTGGGGCTTAGACACTGGACATTTGTGTGGCCTTTGGTGTTACCATCATCAACACAGACCCTGCTGTGGTAGGACCCTGGCCCCAGACATGATTCTCGGTAGCAGACTGAATCTGGATGTCACTACAACCCCAGGTGGCAGCACAGGCCACTCACATCAGCATGGCCCCAGTGGCAGCATGGCCCCAGTGGCAGTGTGGCCCTTGGACACCAACATGGTCCCAGGTAGCAGCCCAGACCCCTGGCATCAACATAGCCTTCAATGGTATCAGGAGCCATGGACATTAACACAGACCCTGGCTGCGGTCGGGCCATGGAACTAGACATGACCCTCAACAGCAGTCCATGACTGATTCTTAAAGACCACCTCAAAATACTGTGTAATTCAGAACACAGAAGGCAAATGTTAAAAAATACACATGCCCAAGCCTACCTGTAAACATTAACTCAAGTTCACAGTGGGTTCTGGGCATCTGTATCCTCCATTGATCCTGGGAAGAGTCTGGCCTAGTTGCCAAGCAGGGCAACCACTGTCTCAGGGGCCCATAGATAGATAAATTTGGAAGGGACCAGAGCTAGCACACCATGACTACAAGTCCAATCTAGCCTGCTGTTCCTTTTGTTGTAAATAAAGCTTTGTTGGAATATAGCCACACCTACTCTCTTAGATTCTCTCCATGGATGCTTTCGTAGTATTGTGATTCATATGGCTCACAAAGCCCCAAACATTTATGCTATAGTATTTTCCAGAAAGAGTTTGGTTCCCCCTGGGGGGGAGTAGGCAACTTCAGAGGCCCAGATTTGTGCCTGCTGGGGAAAGATTAAGAACCCAAAGGCTTCACTTCTTCCTCTTGTCCTTTGTCTGGGGTATCACAGGCTCCCATTGTCTGAAAGGTACGAAAGGCACCAAATGGTTGCCTACTAAGAAACTTGTTCCTCGAAATAGCCTTACTTTGAAGAACCCCCTTCCTCCCTGGAGGCAATTGTAGTACAACTGTCAATCAAAACACTCAGCTTCCTCCTTGGGCATGTGACCCAAACTGAACCCGGCACATACCTTGAGCTAGTTAAAGGAGACCCACCTCTCCCTGGAGCACTAGGAAACTGTTGATCACTGTTAAACCATTGTTAAAGTCCTTTTTAAAAAGAACAATTAAGGCCTGGAAGATGCCTCAGGTGGTAGCGTGTCTGAGGCACAGGCTACACAAGCCTGAGAAACAGAGGTCAGATTCCCAGCACCCATGTGAAATCCAGGCATAAGGTGTGTATGTGTAACCCCAGAACTGGGGCGATGGGGACTACTGATTCCTGGAGCTCATTAGCTAGCCACACTAGATGAATCAGTGAGCTCTGTAGGTTCAGTGAACAACATTGTCTCCAAAAAAAAAAAAAAAAAGTGGAGAAAAAGGAAGAAAGATACCAAGATATCTGGAGTTGACTTCCTTTTTTTCTTTTATGATTTTTTACAACATAGTATTTTTATTGACTATTTGAGAGTTTCACATAATGCACCCTGATCACATTCACTTCCCAGTCTCCCCATGTCCACCCCTCCACCCTTGTGACCTCCCCCAAAGAAAAATAAGAACAGAGAAAACAAAAACACACAACAACAACAACAGTCGAATTTGTGTTGCCCATACACTCACTGGAGCATGGTCAAACTCCCAGCAGCCAGCCCCTTAAAGTAAATGGAGTCCTTCCCCTACCCCCACCCCCACCCCCACCCCCACCAGAAGCCATCAACTGTGAAGAGCTACACTCCAGGGTCCCTATCACAATTTTTAAGAGTTCTCTTCAATAGCTTCTGTCTAGACTGTTTCTTTTTGTGTGTGGTGGGGGCAGGGAGAGGCTGTCACCGAAGCCTTCTACGTCTCTCATTCTCAACTGTGAGTCTGCAGTCATCAAGACCACTGCAAAAGAAGCCTCCTTGCCCTCTACAGTCACGGCTTTCATATGGTTTCTGGCATTATCATGGTCCATGGACTTCAGCATGGTCTCCTGTGGCAGGGCAGACCACAGATATCAACATGGCCTCCTGTAGGAGCACAGACCACAGGCATCCACACGGCCTCTGGCAGCAGCAAGTACCGTGGACCTCAATGTGGCCTCCAGTGGCAGCACAGACCACAAACATCAACATGGTCCTCAGCTGCAGTGTGGATCAGAGACACCATCATGGCCTCCAGCAGCAGCACAGGCCACAGATATCAACATGGCTTAGGTGGCCACACAGGCCACGGACATCAGCATGGCTTCAGGTGGCAGCATAGACCATGGACATCACCATGGTCTTCTGTAGTAACATGGACCATGGACATCCACATGGTCTAGGCAGCAGCAGGACCACGGATATCAACATGGCCCTTGGCAGCAACACAGACTACAGACCTCAGCATGGCCTCAGGAGGCAGCTCAGGCCACATATATCAACATGGCCAACAGTGGAGACACTGATCACTGACATCAACATGACTCCCAGCAGTAGCACAGACCACGGACATCCACCCTGCCTCCAGTGGTAGCATGGGCCATGAACATTGACATGGCCTCTAGTGGCACCACAGACCATAGACAGCCACATGAACCTTGGGCATCAGCTCAGCCAGCGGTGGCAGCATGGACCACAGACAGACACCAGCATGTCCCCCAGCTATAACACGGATCATTGATATCAAGACGGTCTCTGGGGCGGATTGGACCCTGGAGGTCTTTTGAAGAGGCCCAATCCAGAAAATGAACCATTCTCCATCTTGGACATCCTCTCGTTGCTCAGAGCCAGGGTGATCATGCGGCTGGGTAGCATGTTTGGGGACAGAGCCTATACAAGCTTCTAGGCTGCTGCATACCACCCTGCTGGCCCTACTCAGCAACAACGTTCTCCCCTGCACACCCGAAGCCTTCTCCCACACCTGTCACCACCATGGTGTCTCCAGTTCCACCTCTTCCCACTGTGCATGAGCCGCTACATTCCTCCATTTTTCCTATCTCTCCATCACATATTTTTTTCATCGATGTGGCATTGCAAACCGCAGTGTGTCCCACAGTATATTTTTTTGCCTAAACAACTTTATGTACAAATACTCATTGCCCTGAGTCATTGGTCTGGTTCAAGGTGTTTGGTTTCTGGGTCACCATAAATGCTGGACCATCACCAAGACTCATCATGGATATCCTGCTGTTGCCCAGAGTCAGGATGATCTTTCAGCTAAGGAGGGCATCCAGGGGCAGGATCCGTGAGAGCTCCATGTGGCTGCACATCTCCTGGCCCTCGGTGATGGCTGCATCCAGGCTCGCGGGGCTTGGCCATTGTGCTTGTGGCCTCCAGGCAGTGATGCTACTCCAAGCTCTCCTTCTCCCAGCAGGGCAGGCAGTGTGGGCTGCAGCCACTGGGGCTCTGTGCTGCAGGCCAGCTCATGGGCCGAAGGCCAGCCCTATTCAGTAACATCACGTTCTCTATACCCTGTATCTGTGTTCTCCCACATTGCTCCATACCTTTCACTGCCACAGCTCCTCCATGGTGGCTTCCCTGCATGTCTGCTACAGGTTGTCAGCTGCAGCCTGGTGCAGGATACATGGATTAGAGTTGACTTCAATCCTCTAAGTACATCCATGCACAAATGAACACACACAGAGAGACATAAACAGACACACACACATACACACATTTTTTTAATCACAATTAGTGTTAATGACAAGGTCTTGTTTGTATTTATAAGCACTCCTGGTGTTCATTATCCTGCAAATAAACAAAGACTTGGGGAGATGGGCCAGTCCTAGTCAGCAGCTGCTGGAGTCTCCCTTGTTGCCTTGTTCACCTGCCTGCTCTGAGAAGAAAAAAAAAATATCCTGTCAGTCAGACAGCTAACTGGACCACTCCTAAGCCAGCGCCAGCCATAAACACTCCATGGATGCGCTGAGACAACTAAGCAAAGATTGTAATTGATTATTGCTGCTCTTGAAGGTACAGCCTCAGCCAGGACTGTTTGAAAGTGTTTGTACCAAACTTGGGTGTGGCAAGCCTCCACGAACTCTAGATGATCCTGCAATCATTTGTGGAGAGGCCAGAGAGGAAGCATGTGCCTTGGTCACCTAGCAGAGGGGCTACTGTGGTGCTAAGAGGCGAGGCTGTGATTGGTGCAAAATATAAGCCTCAATAACTGAATGGTGTAAAAAAAGACAAACGAATGGCTGTGATTGGTCTGGAACCACATAAGCATGCTGGCAGGGCTCAGGGGGATGGTACGGGCCAGTTTGCCTCCCTAGTTAGCAGCTGTTGGACTCTTCCCTGGGCTGCGGGTGTCACGGCATTGGGCTTTTCCAGAGTGGTCTTTCCTTGCCTGTTTTCAGTAGTGAGTGCTGGCTGGTAACACAGAGAAGGCAGCAGTAGAGGAGCGGTAGCATTGATGGGTGAGCCGTGGGCAGCCCAGGCTGCAAAAAGAGCCAGAGGGGAGAAGCCGTTGAGTGGTTCTTAGGAGGCCAGGGCAGGAAGAAGAAGGGCAATGGAAAGCAGAGAGAGAAGACAGAGAACTAAGGCTGAGGGTTAAACAACAGTGCAGAGCAAAGGAAGAGGCCCTGAGTACCAGGAGCCTTCCAGAGAGCTGTCAGGTCTTCAGGGGCCCAGGTCTCAGACCTTGGGCCGACAGCTGTAACACTGGCCTGGTGAAGGAAAGGCTTAGTGACGCCAACGTCTGGGATGCACACATGAGTACTAGCACTGGTCTGCAGCTAAAGGCTGAGGAATTCTGGTATCTAGGCCTGCCTAGATGTTAGCCAGGACTAAAGGCTGGAAAATCACAGCTTCCTTGGCCCACAGCAGAGCTGTAACGCTTGTGGGGCTGTGGGGCCCAATACCAAAGGTCTGTGGCACTAGAGGGCACCACCTGCTGACGCTCCTATCACTTGCTTTCCCATCTGCGGAAGACCAGTCCTTCTCCTTGCCCACCCATGATTTCAATCTAAGTGGGGCTTTTCAAAAGACTCCTGATTGGCAGCAGTCTCCTGTCCCTGGCATCTGGATCTGGAGGTGAGAAAAGAAGGACTGACAGCCATTCTGACATCTTCCCCTTTGCAAAGGGCTAAAGAGCGCCTGCTCTCAGGATGCCTGGGGCTTCCACCCTGCCCTGAGAACATCCCTGTCTGTCGCTGGCTTATCTCCTCCCCGACAACATCCCTCTCGAGGTATATTAGAGTTTAAAGCAGTTGTTTACATCGCTCTCCCTGCAAAACCCCAAGTAATATAAAATACAAGGACTTACCAGGCCACGGGGTGTGGAGCTGGCCATTTTATAGACGGACACCTGGGCCAGAAGTGACAAGTGACTGTTGGAACATGAACCCAGAACTTGGTCATACCTCCTCCTGTCCCAGTGTCACCCAATTCTCCAATCCCCACAATCGCTTTCAGTCGGCAGCAGCCAGAATCAATCCCCAAAATATAAGAATCATTTTATAAATTAATAAATAGGTGACAAGGAGTTTCCTCATGCTGCCAGGAGTCAAGACACCCCCCCCCCCCCGGTGTGTGTGTGTGTGTGTGTGTGTGTGTGTGTGTGTGTGTGTGTGCGCGCGCGCGCGCGCGCTTGCAGAATGTCATACTAGGCATTTAAAAGCATCAAAAGATCAAGCGGGGGGAATGTTAAATATGAATAAGATGAATGACATTTCTGTGCAAGGAATAATGACTTTAATGACTTTACTCGCCCAGGTCCCCACATCATAAGGTACAAAAGCCGAGGATTGGAATGGAGTGTATGTGTGTGTGTGTTGGGGGGGTGGGGGCGGGGCGAGTGAGACTAGCCGGTGGGTAAGGGAAGGAAAGGATAAGATGGGACTGTCAGTGTGAGCCCTGGGTCCTGGCATGTGTCACTGCCTCCCAGGGTGTCTCCCAGGCATAAAGCTCCAAGGCAGTGAAGGGCCCAGAGACCCTACAACAGATGGCCAAGCCATCCACAGCCTCTCTGGAGAGAAACTATAGGGGTCTTGTAGCTGACAGAGCACCTCTGCTGACCCTGATCACCCAAGATAACCAGATAGGGAGCCTATGGTGGCAGTGCTTCGTGCAATGGAGGTCATGCAGTGGATCATAAACAACAACACGTATGCTATGGAGGCAATGCTGACAGCCTTCTCAAAACCATGCACTGGGATTCTAATCCGTAAGCAATGCTACTGGGTGGTGGGGTCTCTGGGTAAGGGATGAAAGCGCTATAAGGGTAGAGCCATCTCAAACAGCATTAGTGTCCTATGAAAAAGATGCCAGGGAGACCCCTCGGCTCTTCATATGAGGTCATGGCAAGCAGGTACCATCTTCGAGGCAGCAAGTGGACCTACATCAGACACCAACTCTGACGACATCTTGGTATTGGACTTTAAGTCTCTAGAACAGTAAGAAATAAGTACCTGTCCTACACTGGCCACGAAGCCCAGGGCAATTTGTTATAGCAGCCCAGGAAGACAAAATACGAGATCACAGTGTGAGCTGTAAAGGCAGACAGACCACACCTGCCAATCCTGGACTGTCACATTCCAGCTGGGACACTATGAGCGGGGACTCAGCGGCTCTCAAACTAGAGAGTTAGCTTTCTCACCCAGGAGATGGCCCCCGCACCTCTCCTGGATTGGAGGGTGACATGAGGTGATACAAACCAGCCTCTTAGCTTGCTGTGATGGCCATTACTGTCAAACCGACAGGATCCAGACTCATTTAGGCAGAAATCTTGTGGCCATGCCTGTGAGGGATAATCTAGATTAATTTAACTGAGCTGGGAAGGGTCACCTCTACTGCAGTAGTGCCATGACCTGGGGTGGGATCCTGGATCGAATAGAGATCAAGCTAAACACCAGCATCCATTCATTGCTCTCGGATTCTGGACTCTGGATGCAGTGACACCTGACACCGGCTCCATACACCCCAGTATCATCCTGAGCCCGGAATCTCACCCAGTGCTTGTTCACAGTGGCCCGAGAACCAGGGGCAAGGCCCAGTTTCCCTCCACAGTGGCAGGATGGCAGGAAGGGCAGATGTCTACCTCATCCAGACCTCTCGATGAAGGTCAGGTGATGCAGGACACTGCCAGTCAAAGGCAGCTGTGAGTCCAGGTGGCAGTGACCTGTAACGGGTGTATTTCCTGCGTCCATGGTCTTGCGCTCTTCCTTCAGCGTGCCAGCCAACACCAGTGGCTTCTCGGCGAGAAGGTTCATGTCCCCCTTGGCATGGCTGAGTTCAAACCGAGGCAAACAGATGGCCTGTGAGAGACAGAGAGGGGCTGAAGATGCTGCTCTGTTTGTGTCGACTGGGCTGACAGGAAACAATAACGGAAGTAATGGCAGCATGCCTCACAGGGAACTTCCTGTGAGCCAAGAACTCCACGTGCAACAGCACCTTCAGTCACACAACAACCGTGCAAGATAGGCAATATTATTACTAGGCCCATTTTACAGACGAGGCACTTGAAGCTCAGAAAAGTGAAGTAACTTGGCCAAGGCCACACAGTAAATATGTGCTGGTTTAAATATCTGGCTTAAAAGTCTAAACCCTGAACAGCTTCACGGAGATATGCTACCAGAGAAGCGGCTGGAAGCAGGCATCTGGGAGATGAGGGTTGGCTAGGCCCACCTATAAAGCAATCACGTCATGATAGTGCTGTCCCAGAGTTCCCCCAGAAGAGGCAAGGTGGGAGTTGGAGACTTGGAAGATGACAGAGTCCTGGTCTTCGTCCCATCTCAGAGTGTTTTTATTGTCCCAGCATACATGCTGCTGCAGTAAAGCTTACACTAAGAGAGCCTGCAGCTTATGCAGGGAGGAAGCTGTGCGGGTGGGGGTGGGGGGTGGGAGGACCACACCAAGTCCTGCAGCCAGGTTTAGATGGGTGGCTGCAAAAGGCCCTCACTCTACCCAGGAAGCAGAATGAGTCACAGTGAGTGCTAGGAGGACCTCAGAACTGGGCCAGCAGGTCCAAAACAGATGACTGTCCCAGCCCTGATTATGGGCTCTAATGATATAATGGAAATATGACATCCATCTTGTTTAGTGTATGTCTCCAGACCTGGGCTTACAGGCCGGTGCATAGTAATTAGACAATAAATAGCTATTCAAAAGGAGTGGGCATATAAAAAGAAACGGGGCTAGAGAGAAGGATGAGCTGTTGAGAGCATTTGCTGCTTTTACAGAGGAGCCAGGTTCAGGTCCCAGCCCAGACATCAGTGGCTCACAGCCTCCTATAACTCCAGTTTCAGAGGTCAAACACCCTCTTCTGACCTCTGCAGACACTTGCATGCACATGGTACATATCTATGCAACCAGGCCCACACACGTACAGGTAAAATAAAATAAATCTTTTTTCTTAATGAGTGAACAAAGTAGATGGGGAGGAGCCAACGTCTGTCAGTCTTGGCCCTACTGGGTTTGGGGATGACTAATTGCTAGCTGTAGGGGTGTCCTGAGTAGCAGCATCTGGGTCTCTCAGGCCCATTAGATGTGACTGTCCTTCTTCTGTGATATCAAAACCAAACTTGTCCTCAGGGGAGACCCTATAACATGTAAAACACAATCCTCAGCTTACACCACTAATTGAAAGAGGGATCCCAATATTTATCTGTATGTCCAATGGACGGGGTATGCCCCAGCACCAGAAGCCTGGAAGGGCTGAAAGAAAGCAGAGCAACTTGAGAGTTCTGTGATGTGAAGTAAGAATGGTGCTGGGTTGGCCTGGACGTGTGTGTGTGTGTGTGTGTGTGTGTGTGTGTGTGTGTGTGTGTGTGTGTGTGTGTGACATTAACACCCGGTCACAGGGCAGGCAGGAATGAGGAGGACTCAGACCAGACACCAGCTGGGAACAAAAGAAGCCTAAGGCTCAGCAGATTGTACAGAAATCCCCATGCAATTCCTGGACCCTTTGACAAGTGGCCTTGCAACAGCAACCTTCTCTTGTCTCAGCCTTGAGGCTTGCTCCGTGAAGTGTGGCCTCCCATGCAGGAGGGCTATGGATCAAGGTGGTCTTGGCAGATCCACTCACAGGAATTAGCCAGTGACATTGGAGCTACAGGATGGCCTCCTTATTATTACACACACACACTCGCCTGTCTGCACTTCCCAACACTGATTTGTTTATTTCTGCAAAACCCTTTCTGCCCAGACACTGAGCTGGGCTACAAGAGATAGGACTGACTCAGCCATTTGCCTGTCTTTAGCATAAAAGGGTCTAAAAAGAATAATTTAAGCTTCTCTGGAGTGAGGTCATTTAATGAATCTTCTCGATGCTAAGAGGTTTTATATTCCTTTTTAAAAACCCTCCCCCAAGCACGGGGCTATGATATTACCTTGGAGAGCCAAGAGATGGAGTGATACACGTATGCACAGCACACTGGGAGGAAGGAGGTGGTTTCCTTGGCAACAACATCCATGTTCTGGCTTCCCTCGGCTAAATTGGAATATATTGAAATATCTGCTTTGGGCGCCTCTCTCTCGGAGGGAAATGAGTAGTTTTCCTATTCCACAAGCCTGCAGCTGGGGAGAGATGTTCTGTGAGTTTGATGCATCTGAATGGGGGAAAAGCAGCCTGCAGGCTGTCAAAAGTCCTCTGCCTGTCTTTGCAAAACCCAAGCTGTCCTTCCTTGAGCCAAGGGGGAAAGAAAGGAAGAAGCAAAAGATGCTCACCCACCCGGTCCAGCAGATAGCAGAAGACTCCATCTTGGGCTGCCTGTATCCTCGCCTCTCCGATGTGTTTCCAAGCATTCCCAGCTCCACAGATGAGCCTCCAAAATCTATGCACATTGTGTCTGCAGTGCAGAGGGGCTGGGAGGAAAAAGGGGTCTTTAGATCAGGTCTGCTCAAACCCCAGCCAATGGGTAGGTACACAGCTATGCACCCAGAGCACGGTGCCCAGCACACAGAAGATATTAGTATCATATCTATGGACCCGAGTGTTTGTCTGGCTGCACCATTAACCTTCTGCATGATTCAGCGTAAGTTCTGTAAACTCAATAACCTTGGTTTCCTTTTCTGTAAGAGCTCCAAGGCTCCGGTGAAGGTCAGATAAGGTGAGCTGTGCACTCCTTGGCACCATGGAGACACATTCAGTTCTGTTTTCTTCTTCATGCCAAACATCTCTGTCTTTCCAATAATGAAGATTTACCAGAAGGAAGAGCATCTTGGGGGAGTTGCAGGGGGAAATCTTACCCCCAAAACCCAGGTCTTTCCATTTGCATAGCTTTTTTTCCCAGGGTGCTTTTACAGAGCTCAGATGGCCTAGGCTGGGAAGGATGTGAATAGAACAGGTTAGATTCAAGTATAACTTGAGACCCAGCCACTAGCCTTAGAGGGAGGGGGTCAGGTCAGGCCAGGGGCGGGCAGGAAAATGTATGGGAACACCAGCAACCAGCAGGTCAGAGGAGGGTTAACAATGAGAAGCCAGGGTTTGGCAGGGAGGTGTGTGTCTCAAGGATATGGCCTCGAATATGATTTGTCCCCTCCAAAACTTGGGTTGGATATTTTAAAAAGTTTTTATTATCCATTTTGTGTGGGTGCATGTGAGTGGGTGTGGGTGCACATGCCAGAATACGTATGTGGAGGTCAGAGGACAATACCAGGTAATCGGTTCTCTCCTTCCACCATGTGGGTCCCAGGAATTGAACTCAGGTCATCAGGCTTGGTAGCAAGCACCTTCACCCACAAAGCCATCTTGCTTGCCCCATTAGATGGGAATTTGACTGCCATCATGGCAGCAGTTAATGGTAAGGCCTTTAAGAGGTGGTTAGATTTGTCAATGTGAAATGTCCCCAACAGGCTCATGGAACATTTAGGAGGCAGGGCCCAGTTGGAGGAAGTGGTTTATGCTTGGTCCTTGGTTCAGATGCATTCTCTGCTTCCTGGTGAACTACAGTGTGAGCTGCTGTATTCCATCACAGGCTCCTGCCACCCTGGCCTAGGCTGCCTTGCTTTCCCTAGCACGATGGATTGAAAGCACTGAATGGGTGAGCCCAGATAAGCCTTCGCCCTTCAGCCATCTCTGTGGGGCATTTAGGTGCAGCAACGTGAAGGTAGCTGACGTGGAAAGATTAGTTCCTTTGTCGTGGAAATGCGCTCATGCTCAGGAGGACAGGCAGTGGGGAAGTGAGGCTCGCCCTTGTGTCTTCTCTCTTCTGCGTATGCCACCTTGCCCCACCCCCCAATGTTTGTACCTTGTTATAGTGACCTGAGGCCCTCACCAGACTCTTCTGCCTGACCTTTGACTACCAACTTCTGGAATAGTGACCTCCATAAACTCTTTTCCTTCTTAAACTTCCCAGTCCCAGGTATTCTGTTATAGCAACTGAAAATGGACTCAGACACCAGGCTATTTAAAGACCCTCCCAGCAGACTCCTTATTGGATTTTGTCCTTATACCCCCCTACTTTTCACTCACAGAAAGGTCTTCCTTGAGCCTCTATTAAAATTGTTTTAAACACATCAGGACCCAGGATTCCCATCTGAAATCCAGATTCCAGAGCTGGTTCTAAAGAGCTTATGGATACAAAATGGTGTTTGAGTCCTTTTCCCAATACTAGTGTGTACCGGCTTGGAAGGAAAGCTCTCTAAGTTTTGCTTGTGGTCTGCAGAATAACCATGCTTCCCTCCTGTCAGAGGCAGCTGTGGTGGGATGTAAAGACTGACAACAGCCAGTGGAGTCCACCACCTGTGCCTCGGTGCCTTCTAATTCTGTGTCTATGGTCACCCATTAAAGAGAAATTTGCTGCCTAGCAGAAGAAGGTCCAAGCACTGGACCTTTTCCCTAGATCAGTGGTTTTCAACACATGGGTTGAGACCCCTTGGGGTCAAAGGACCCTTTCACAAAGGTCAACTAAGGCCATCTGAAAACACAGATATTTACATTACGATTCATAACAGTAGCAAAATTACAGTTATGATGTAGCAATGAAAATAATTTTATGGTTCGGAGTCACCACAACTTGAGGAACTATCATTCAGGTCACATCATTAGGAAGGTTGAGAACACCGCTCTGATAAAGTTAAAAGAGAACTACATACATAGCAATATCCCTAAGTTCCTCTACAAAAAAGAAGCTACTCGTAAATCTCCAAAAGAGGGATGATGGCTGAAGGAATATTTGCTCTGTACATATGCAAATGCACCCTAAAGCTAAAATAATCAAAATAGTATAAGATCCACAAAGAAAGTAACAGGAGAAAGATGAAACAAACTCAGCATATTGAAATGTTAATATACTTTTAAGATGAGTTATCAAAAAAAACATGAAGTTGGGAGGGATGTGTGTTGGGGTCAGGTGTCTGTAAATTGGGGGATGGATGTGATTAAGATACATTGTATACATGTATTAGAGATTTTCTAAGAGGAAAATAAAAGAACTTCATGTCCTTCTGGAACAATGTGGATACAATGGAACAACCCTTCTACCAAGGAACAAATTTAAATTCTACTCCCTACCTCACACCATACTTCAGAGTAAATTCTGCATAGGTTAAACATTAAAATTAAAAACAGGCTGTGTTAGATAAGAAAAGACAGAATGAGATGTACCTTTTCTTTGAGGTGACATCAGGCATCTTGTAGAGTCCATCCTCTCAGCCGACTCTTAGGCCATGGTTATTTATTGTGACAACCTGTATACAAGGGCTTATCTGTCAACATCTCAGCTGCACGATATTCACGATATTCTCTTTCTCTCTCTCTCTCTCTCTCTCTCTCTCTCTCTCTCTCTCTCCCTCTCTCTCTCTCTCTCTCTCTCTCTCTCCTTCCCTCCTTCCTCCTTTCCCTCTCAGCATTTCTCGCCTCTAACACAGCTCTGAAGGAACCCTACAGCAGTCCCTTCACCCACCCCAGCCAGCGCACAAACCCAGAAGTACAGAGGATCCCACACTCAAGGCAACCTCTGAGATGGGAAAGACAAAAGCCCAAGAGTGTCCCCTGTTCCAGCTGCCAGAAATACATCTTCAGATACTTTCTTTGAGGATTCCGAGAGGACTCCAGTATTCCCCTGTCCTGGCTTTCCCTTCCTCTCATTTCGCTGTTTCCAGCCCTCTGTTCCACACCCCACAATTTGTTAACACCCAAGTCTTGGTCTGTTGGGGGAGATGTCTAAGCAAATATGCGTGGTTAAGATCAAAATATGGAATTAAATTGAACAAACATCAAGGAAGGGGCTGATAGATGCACTGTCCTTTAAATGTAAAGTTTCCAGACACCAAAATATTCTTTTAGTGTCCCCACCTCTTCTCAAACAATTTAGTCTAGAGGAGTCCAAACCTCCACACAAGGCAGCGCAGGAGCCAGGTAGAAGCTCTGAACGGAGCAAGGAAGGAAAGCCCACAGAAAGAGGGAGGTGACCCAAGATGGCATCAGTCAGCTTTCCACTACTGTGACAAAATACCCGAGGAAATCAACTGAAAAGTAGGAAAGGTCTACTTTGTCTCCTGGTTTCAGAGGCCCTACTGCTCTGGGCCTACAGCAAGACTGAGCATCATGGTGAGAAGTGGGTAACGGAGCAAAGCTCACTATTTCACACCAGCCAAGAAGGGGATTGGGGAGGCAGGTGAGGGCCCAATACCCCTGCAGGGACATGCTCCTAATGACCTGACTTCCTTCCTCCAGGCCCCACCTTCTAAAGTGTCCACCACCTTCCAATGGTGTAGCTAGAGTTTTCCTGCCTGGCCCACAGTCAGGACAAATCTCTCTCACCCACTAGTCCCACAGCCGCTCAGACCCAACCAAGTAAACACAGAGACTTATATTGGTTACAAACTGTATGGCCATGGCAGGCTTCTTGTTAACTGTTCTTATATCTTAAATTAACCCATATCTATAAATCTATACCTTGCAACGTGGCTTGTGGCTTACCGGCATCTTCACATGCTGCTTGTCATGGCAGCGGTGGCTGGCAGTGTCTCTGACTCAGCCTTCCACTTCCCAAAATTCTCTCCTCCTTGTCCCGCCTATACTTTCTCCTGCCTGGCTACTGGCCAATCAGTGTTTTATTTATTGACCAATCAGAGCAACACATTTGACATACAGAACATCCCACAGCACAATGGGGTGACCAGCTAGTGAGTAAACCTATAACCCAAAAGCCTTTGGGAACATTTCAGATCCAAATTATAATAGTGTCAGGGTCCAAAGGAGTGAGGGGGGTAGGAGGGGTGTGAGACAGTCCAGCACGTGGTGCTGCGGTCTGCATAGACTGGAGAACCATCCATGAAGGGTGCTGGAGTCTGTTGGCATAGGGTGAAGGCTGTCTTCAGAGCAAAGACAGTGGTAGGAAGATTTTGATCAAATAGCTCAGAGTATTAAAGGTGATGAGAAGAGAGCCAGGTTTCACTCTGGCATAGAACACATGGCAATGGAGAAAGCAGCCTTGGGGTGTATTTGAATATGCTTTGCCCCTCCAGAACTCATACCGGAATTCTGCTGCCAGGGAGGTGGAGGATATCCTGGGAGGACACTAGTTCATCATGCATGAATGCAGTTCATTACTGCAGTGGTTAAGGACCTAGGTTCAATTTCCAGCACCCACATGGCAGCTCACAACTGTCTGTAATTCCACTTCCAGGGGATCCAACACCCTCACACAGACACACAAACAGGCAAGACACCAATGAACATAAAATAAACATAAATGATATATTTTTAAAATGCCTCCAGAAGATCAGGTTGTAGGCAAGCCTGTAGGACATTTCCTTAATTAGTGGTCGATGGGGGAGGGTCCAGCCCATTGTGGTTGGGGCCATCCCTAGGATGGTGGTCCTGGGTTCTATAAGAAAATAAGCTGAGCAAGACATGGAAGCAAGCCAGTAAGCAGCACCCCTCCTTGGCCTCTGCAATCAGATCTTGCTTCCAGAGTCCTAACCTGTTTGGGTTCCTGTCCTGACTTCCTTTGATGATGAACGGTGATATGGAAGTGTAAGCCAAATAACTCCTTCCTTCCCAAGTTGCCTTGGTCATAGTGTTTCATCACAGCAATAGATACCCTAACTAAGGCAATCACCAAGAAAGTTAAGGAAGGAAATCAAGGCAGGAACTGAAGCAGAAGCCCTGGAGGGACAATGTTTCTTGCTTAAGTGTGCTTTTTCATAGCATCTGGAACCACTTGCCCAGGTGTGGTGGTGCCAGTAAGCAGCACTCCCTACGGCCCCTGTGTCAGCTCCTGCCTCCAGGTTCCTGCCCTGTTTGAGTTCCTTTCCTGACTTCCTTTAATGATAAACAGGGCTATGGAAATATAAGCCAAATAAACCCTCTCCTCCCCAAGTTGCTTTTGGTCATGGTGTTTCATCACAGCAATAGAAACCCTAAGAGACAGCCTGTTTTTGTATGGATACATGAATATGGCAGCCATTACTAATTAATCAAATATGATTTATTATATGCAATGTAGAGGATGGATGTAAATATAAATGTGCAAATTTGTGCTTATGTGGATGTGCCCACTGACAGAACCAGAGACCCATGACTCTGCAGTAGAAATGAGCACACCTAGGACCCAGATACTGGTTCCTGTATTAGTTACTTTTCTCTTGCTGTATAAGACATCATGACTGATGTAACATACAGAAGGAAGAGGTTTTTTTGGCTTACAGTTCCAGAGGGAGAACCCATCATGATAGGAAGGCATGGTGACAAGCAGCAGGCACAGTGGAAGGAACAGCCTGGATCTTGAAACCTCAAACGTGAAGCAGAGAGTGCGAGGTGACATGAACAAAGACCATAAACATCCAAATCCCACCCCTAGTGACACACTTTCTCCAGCAAGGCCACTCCCAGTCAACCTCCCCAAGCATGCTACTAACCAGGAACCAAGTGTTCAAATGCCTGAACCTATGGGAGACATTTTAATTCAAGTAGAAACAGCTTCTAAATGCCCTTCTCTCCTCAAAAGAGTCAAGACTTCTTAGAAATGGATGCTGCTCCCAGGGCTCAGGAGGAAAACCCTGGCTTGCCAAAACTGAAGGGAATGTTCAGGGAATTATGGAGAACGGAACAAAAAGGATGCAGAGGCCCACAGGGAAGGACTTCTTCTGATCCAATCCAGAGAAGCTGAAACACAAAAAGAGGTAACAATGTCAATGTTAATATTTTATAATTGACTGCAGCAAATAAAAATCCATGGTTGCATAGATTAAAAATTGTACACGTAAATAAATTGAATAGAATTGAAATACATAGTCTCAAAATTTCTCCATAAAGTATGTGTTAGTTACAAAAGAAAGCAAATAACTTTACAGTGGAGAAACTCCTTTATCAAGCAATCAAAGTTTCACCCTCCAATTCTGAGAAAAATTCAAAATGACCCGTGGCCTGACAGGATGCCGTAGGAAGAACCAGGCACCATTTCTGATGGTCCAGCCAGATTCAGAAAAGCTGAAGCAGCTTGTGGGAAACATCCAGGGAAAAACAAAAAAAACAAAAAGAGTGGATAAACAGTAGAGTAACCAACCTGGATCCTCTAAAACTGTTAAGGTCATCAAAGTCAAAGACCTGAATTGTAGAGGTGATGGAGACGAAGAGCAAAGGCAACCCACGCCACTGACCTGGAACTCGCCTCTGGCTGGGACATTCTTGAGATGGTTGGCAAAGGCTGTGGGTTTGGCCAAAGTCCAGTGACATCTGAGAAAGGCTAAGACCTATATGCAAGGTTAATTTTCTGTACTTGAAGTTGACATTGTGGTGTAGCTAGAGTTTTCCTGCCTGGTCCACAGTCAGGACAAATCTCTCTCACCTGCCGGTCCCACAGCCACTCAGACCCGACCAAGTAAACACAGAGACTTATATTGGTTACAAACTGTGTGACCATGGCAGGCTTCTTGCTAACTGTTTTTACAGCTTAAATTAATCCATTTCCATTAATCTATACCTTGCCACGTGGCTCGTGGCTTACCGGCATCTTCACATGCTGTTTGTCATCGTGGTGGCTGGCAGTGTCTCTCTGACTCAGCCTTCCACTTCCCAGCTTTATTCTCCTCCTTGTCCCGCCTACACTTCCTGCCTAGCCAATGGCCAATCAGTGTTTTATTTATTGACTAATTAGCAACACATTTGCCATACAGAACATCCCACAGCATTGCGGTTAGGATAGAGAATGTCCTTGCTTGTAGACAGCACACGCTGCAGCATCTAGGGATGGCAAAGCACCAGGTCAGCTGCTTGCTCAAGTGAGTCAGGAAAAGAGAGAGAGAGAGAGAGAGAGAGAGAGAGAGAGAGAGAGAGAGAGAGAGAGAGAGAGAGAGAGGATGTCTTTGTACTGTATTTGCAATTTTTCTATAAACAAGATTATTTCAAAATAAAGGTTGTCTTAGTCAGGGTTTTCTATCACTGTGAAAATACACCATGACCATGGCAACTCTTATAAGGAAAACATTTAGTTGGCATGTCTCACTTACAGTTTCAGAGGTTCAGTCCATCATCATCATTATGACGGGGACCATGGCGGCATGCAGGCAGAGGTGGTGCTGGAGCTGAGAGTGCTACATCTTGCAGACAACAGGAAGTCAACTGACAATCATACAAAGGGAAACTTGAGCAAAAGAGACCTCAAAACACGCCCCCACAGTGACACACTTCCTCCAACAAGGCCACACCTCCTAATAGTGTACTCCCTTGGGGGTCATTTTCTTTCAAACCACCACAAAAGGAAAAGTAAAAAGTGTGCCAAATCTTAAAAGACAAACTGAAAAGAAAATGCCAAATGTATGGTTTTAAAAAAAGGGGGTGGGGTGGCCCCCTCAACATATAAATACCATTGTTAATTGTCAGAAAAATATCAATACACAGACAAAAATGGCCAAAGGACTCAATAGACAATGTAAAACTAATTACATGTTCAAGAAACATACAAAAAAGTTGACCTCACAAAGTATACACACACACACACACTTAGGTGTACCTGCATACACACATATGCACATACATGCACTTCCCATACACACACATTCAAAAAATAAAATCTGCATATTCAACACTCTCAAAGTATATTCACAAACACCTATTGCAGTGTGGCTTGTAGAGAGAAACCACTTAATTTTGCAACAATAAGGCATCAGATAAATTAACCCCAATACATTCAAAAAAAGAGAATACTATGGCAACCATTAAAAATCATTTAATCAGATGTTATTTAACGACAGCTGTGCATATAAACATTGTTCTATTAGCACCAGTACTCAAATCCTGGGGGCTGGAAGCTCCCACCTGCCAAATAGTGTTACTGCTTCTCTCCAAAAGTCTCCCTTAGTTGTTGCTGGGAGATGTGGCAGGTATCTTGTGCCCTTCTCAAAGCAAGCCCAGCAATGTGCCTGTGGGGACCAGGAGCTGTTCTTGGAGGAAACTTGAGGAACAGGCCATTGCTCTGGTGTGGTGGGTCCTGTCCCCTTCCAAGCTTGCTTCTTGGCTCTCATTCCACAGTTCCACATGGGCCTTGGGCCTAGTGCTGACTTGAACCTGTTTGGAGCTGGACCCTGACATGGACCTTCCAAAGCTCAGAGTCTCACTATGTCCTTTGCTGACTGCAAGCAGTCACTCTCTGTACCATCTTGCTTTTACTGGGACCCAAATCTAGTTCTTCAGACCAGATGAAAGTCTCTCCTCTTGCCTTCTCTATGTACCCCAGAAAAACAAAAACAGAAAAAGTCTCTAAAACTTTTTCCACCCATTTCAAATATAAAAAAGGAAAATTTCCCCTGATGCAGAAACCTGCTGGGGGTAGAGAAGGAGAAGGAAAAAAAGAAGCAGGTCTCCCCCTTGAAACATAACCCAGTTCCAGCCCTAACTGTCGTGTACACATGGGGGGAGACAGACACAAATAAACAAACATGGATGACTTCACGAAGCCCAGAAGGGTGTACACCCTGGCTCAGCTCCAAGGGGTACCATAGTAAGTGACCTGTTTTCATCAGTATTTTATTAAAATGCTTCGCTTTTAAACTGCTATACAGTTATTAGAAGGCAAAATGCCCACCATAAGATATTTATAATATAAAATAAGAACACTCACAGCCTACTCATACACCCACATGCCCTAGATTGAACTTGGCCATTCTTTTAGGTCCCTGAAAGCATCCCCCCCCCAATTCCCAGCTTCTTTTCTTTCTGAGAACTACATCCACAAACCCTACCATGCCGAACTTTGATTTTCCATAAGTTAAGGCTGTGCTCTGTGCATCCTGAGACTAACTCTTCCCCTCGGCATGATGGCCCAGGGGCAATTCACTTGCTCTCTGAGGCATGACGTGAACAGTTTGCTCATCCATTCTGCTGTGATGAACATGTGCATTGAAGCCTTCAACTTCCCTTCCACCAGGAATGCTGCAGGAACATTCTCGCTCAGGTGCCCTGGAGCACCTCCAGTAACTTTCTGCATGCTTCCAGAAGGATCTGCCGGATTACACACTGTGAGAGCACCCCTAGATTTTCTAGACAAAGATGAAGGCCCATTCAGTGCACCTTCTGCAGTGTTTAAGGCTGAAGATGTGGGGTCCATCTGGAAGGTTCCAAATGAAGGCGGGTACCTACCTTCAAAAGCCACCCAGGCCACATCTGCCTAGGCTCCTGGAGCTGCTGTGAGGTGTGTGACATGGTAGGAAGGCATGGCTTTCCTGAAGCCCAAGAGCATTTCACGGGAGCTGCTGTGGCTCATGGGCTCTGGGATCTCTGAGAGTTGTCTTCTAGTCTTAGGCCCTCTGGGCCCAGAGGTCCCAGAGAAGCTGCTCAAAAGCCTCGGAGGAGCCCTGTGGACACAGGAGAGTTACATCAAGCCTCAGTCCCTTTCTTACTCACCATGTGACACACCTCCCTCTCCGCCCCGCCCCCCCGGGGTGGGCACTCTGGGGTGAATAAAGACAGAGAACACTTTTATTCACCTCAAGGGTCCCTTCTGTCTTTGAGCTGCTTGGCCTGAGGATCATTCTGACCACTTCCTGGCTCCTCATCACAATTCCATTCCCAACACCTGGCAAAATCTGTAGATGGAGATGGGAATCACATCTCTGTCAGCTCCTGCAGCCTGTCTCCACCTGAATCCTATGAGCTGCTTCCTGCCAGGCGCTCAGTGATCATGGCTCCCAGGGAGAACCTCTAGGGCCCCTTCCATTCTTGTTTACCTACCTTATCATGGAGAAGAATGAAATCATCAAGCCTGGATCCAAATCCTGGCTTATCAGTCTTTTCAGACTGTGGGACTGAATTCCTCACTTAACCTCTCTGAGGTTCCATTTGCATGAGAGGAAAAGGACTACCACTCTGACCTGTTGTGAAGCCTCAGAGATCACACCAACGCCAGCCCACAGCCCATGCCCAGAAAATAGCAGCTGCTGTGAAATCAGTCTCCTTTATGGAGGAGGGACCCCCAGTTGGTCTCTAGGTTAGCCTAAGCTTGGAGAACTCAGCTCCTTCCATTTTTCAACTTCTCTAAGAGGGTGGATTTTCCGAAACCAGCTGTGGCAGTGAAGGGAGGTGGAGACCCAGACAAGAAATACACACACACACACACACACACACACACACACACACACACACACACTACCATGGCCAGGCCGTGGTGGTGCATGCCTTTAATTCCAGCACTTGGGAGGCAGAGGCAGGCGGATTTCTATGAGCTCAAGGCCAGCCTGGTTTACAGAGTGAGTTCCAGGACAGCCAGGGTGACACAGAGAAACCTTGTCTCAAAAAACAAACAAACACAGAGAGAGAGAGAGAGAGAGAGAGAGAGAGAGAGAGAGAGAGAGAGAGAGAGAGAGAGAGGGAGGGAGAGGGAGGGAGAGGGAGGGAGGGAAAAGGACAGTACCCTAACCACCTCTCACAATGCCTCTTGATGTGCAGTTCAAGCAGACTAGATGGGCCTAACCCTAACCTTGTTTGTCCCTCTTCTAATGTCCTGATCACAGTCAACTGTGTACTGAGTTGGTACATGTGTTGGGAAACGCATGATTATATACACCGGGCAGACCCTTGTCCATCCTACGTGCCCATCTGAGTACAGGGGTTGAGTTAGGTTCATGTCTCAGTCTGCCAGGAAACTCATCCAGAAGTTTACACATGATCACACTCAACAAACACAAGGCATTCACATCTATCGTCAGTGTTGATTAAATACCTCTTTCCTACAAGACAGGAACTTGGCAGGGCCTTGAGTTACCCAAAGATGCTGCCCTTGGGGCTTCATAAGTCAAGAGGGAAGGCAAAGCCAAAGTCGGCAACGAAGGCAGCCAGACTGTGGATTCTAGAAAACCACACCAGTCTGAGCAAAACAGAGAGACGAGAGGTTACACCCTGGAACCACGGTGGTGAATGGGCTGGGACGGCTGCACACTGGCTCCATGGAGAGGCTTCCTGTGATGAGAGCAGAGAAGTGTGCTGAGACCCACACTCAAAGCACGGCCTTTGCCAAGCAATGGAAGCCACGGAAGGCTGCAAGCTGAGTCTGTGTTTGAGAAGAATCACTCTAGAGGGTTAAAAGATAAAGTTAGAAGATTGGATAGTCAAACTAGGAAATCTAATAATGTATGAGTTACAGGATTTCTCAAAAGAGCAAAGTAAAGGATGCACGGGGAAGTCGTCTAAGGCATAATTTAAGAATATTTCCCTAAATCACAGGGCACAAGTTCCTAAAGTTAAATTTTCCCCAAATGGCCAGTGCAGCCCATGTAAGCAGGTCCTCACCACAGCACAGCAAGGTCGGTGCTTAGAGCTACGGCCAGCAGCACCAAGAAAATGAGTAATATACAAAGAACCCAGAAGCACAATGGCATTGCCTTCTTTACTAATTAGTGCTTCTGAGGGGGGAAAAAGATAACAGTGAAAACCCTTCATATTATTAATAAAAAAAAAACCACCCCGATTTCTACACTCAAGCAAATAACTGAAAATCTTGTGCAAAAGGCAGCCTCACCCCATGCATCCTTTTTGAGTAGGCATGGCAGAATGTGCCCTATCAAAACAAAGCTGTAAACTAAAAATAAAAGGAGAGAGAAGAGGGTTTATCTCAGTTACTTTTCTATTGTTATGAAGACACAATTATAACCACAGCAACTTATAGAAGAAAGTCAATAGGGCTTACAGTTCTGGGGGGGGGGGGCTTAGGATGCATGACCATCTTGGTAGGGAACATGGCAGCAGGCAGGCAGGCATGGCACT